GGATAAGCAAAATGTGGTATATACGTTCAATGTACTATTGTTCAAACTTAAAAAAGAAGGAAATTCTTCCATATGCTCCAACATGGACGAAGCTGGGACATTATGCTAAGTGAAATAAGCTTGTTACCAAAAGTCAATACCATACGAAGATTCTACTTACATGAAGTACTTAGAGTTAGTAAGGACATTCATAGAGACATGAAGTAAAATGTGGTTGTCAGAGGCAGATAGGAGGAGGGGGAATGGGAAGGTATTATTTATTTTTTTTTTAGAATTTATTTATTTTATACAAGAACCAGGGTACAGGCCAGAGGTGCAGAGGGTGAGAGGATTCCCCAGAGACAGAGCGGGGAACAGAACAGGCAGACTGACGAAGTACACTACTGAGGGGAGCAGTGGGCAGCAGGAGAGGTCTGCGTGCCAGGTGGGACCCTCTCCAGCGGCCGGGATCGAACCGGTGCTGCAGAGGCTGCGGGCAGCTTCACAGTGCGGCGCTCAACCACCTGCGCCACCAGGATTTCAGTTTTGCTGAGTTACAGAGATGGTTGATGGTGATGGTTACATGACATGATGATTTAAGACCATTGAACTGTACACTTAAAAATAGTTTAGATGTTAAACTTTGTTATGTATTATTTTACCACAATAAAAATGGGGGGGGGATATAGAATGGTCCTGACAAAGATAGCTATATCTTAATACCCAGAATTCATGTTACCTCAGATGGGAAGGGTATCCTGGATTATCCACTGAGCCCAATATAATCACAAAGGTCCTTGGAAGAGAAAAAGGGACGCGGGAAAGTCATGGGGAGAGAGTTGCCTTTTAAGAGAGAGGAAGGAACTCTAACCAAGGAATGTAGTCATAATCTAAAAGCTGGAACAGGCAAGGAAATGAATTCTCTCCTGGAATTTCCAGAAGAGATACTATGTTAGTGATACCTGTTTGGGGTTTCTGATTTCCGGAGCTGTAAGGAAATAGATTTGTGCTGTTTTGAGCCAGCAGCAGAGGTCATTTGTCGTGGCAGCAATATAAAAGGGACACTGGCACTGCTCCTGTAGGTCAGGGGCTTATTCTTCCTGTCTGGACATATCTTGGGTGGTCACTGGGGCACAGCACTTTGGGGTTTTTTTGTTTTTTTTTTTAATAGCTAGTACGCCCTGGTGCTCCCCAGGAAGCCTAATGAATGGTGATGTCACTGAATCAGCCATCCAGCTCACAGCACTGTGCAGACCCCTGAGTGGAGTGCTCTTGGATTTAGGCACTAAAATGGGAGGTGCTCACAGGATGCCTCAAGTTTCCAGAACTAAAGCATGAACAAAACCAAAGTCCAAGCGCAGTCTAGAAGACACCAGCGCTGAAGGTTGTCAAGGTTGGTGTTACCGAGCCAGGAATCAGAGCACCCGGAGATGGAACCAACAAGCCAGGAGCATACCGGGAAAAGGGATTGTCCTATCACCTAGGCCCAGCACAGCTGCTTGGGGCTAACTACGGCCTGGTATGTCAGTGATTTAAAGCACCAAAGACGGATGGATGGCACAGGACGCAGGCGCACACAGATCACTACTTGTTTTGTGTGAGCCTGCTCTCCTTTAAGCAACACAGGATTTCTAGTCTTGCTAGCCCAGTTACAGTTTTTCCTAATTGAATCTAGTCTTTAATGAAAGGAAATAACTATACTACTAAGATCTCTACTCCTAGAGACCAAACAAAAACACTTTAAAATCCACTAAAATTGAGAAAAATCTCAGAGTATAATAATACAAAATTCCACATCAGATTTTTCATATCTTCATGTTATTTTTAAAAGAAAACATTATACCCCATGCCTGATATGAATAAGGTCTTTTACTTTTTTATTATAAACATTTAGGCTTAAAGTGATTGTAACTGACAAGACCAACAGGAGCCTGTGATCTGCTCATGGACAAATTATCTATATTTCAGGCTAACTCAAAAGTAAACATTCTCTAAAGTCTCTTCAACTCTGTGTTAGTTCTCTGGAAGCCAAATGTAACAGACAAGCCCTCTGGCCTCCCCTCCTCTTGACAAACTCTACTAACTTATAAATGAATGGTCTTTTCCATGAAGCATTATGTGCATATATTAGGTGCATTTTGAACCATTTCCACATCTGAGTTCTTAGATGTTTAACTTTCTTGAATCAACATTTTTATTTCATCCGGAGAATATTGTAAAAGACCCTCAGATATGTTGTTTTATAATCTGATTAGTATTTTCCTACATAATAGAGTGGAGAGAAGGAACTATTATGATGGCCTTTGCTCACTTTTTTTTAAAGATTTTTACATTTATTCCTCTGAAAAAATAATAGCAATGAATGTATGTCATCTAATAAATGCTTGAAAAATTCCTTAAATGCTGCCGTTTTATTCCTGAATATCTGCACTTGAATATGCTGATAAGCATTTTAAAAACAACAAAGGCAGTAAGAAGGGAAATCAGTGTCCTCAATCACCGGTGGTAATGTCACTCGCCCCAAGGCTCTGAAAGCCTATTAGAAACCAGCTTGAGAGAGAAGTGTCTTCTGACTTATCCTGGGCTCTAACAGGGAGTCAGCGTTAAACAAACACAGACCCCTTTTTGGAACCTTTATAGTAAACTCAGACACATTAATCTACTCACGTCTCTAGTCCCAGTCTGACCCCTAACTCTTACGGCTATAACGGAAGGAAGGGCCAACTGACATTAGCTCGTGGAGTTTGTATAAAGGTTCATTCCTTAACATTTTGCTTTTATTGAGTCTCATAAGATAAGCGATGATACAAGATTACAGGATAGTCTCTAGACACATTATTTAGCAATATTCAGTCACTCCCAAGATTTGACTTAAGAAAAGGCATGAATGTTTGGCCTGGATGTTTTGGTCTTTGGACAAGGTTCTGCCCTTAAGACAGGAGTCCTCACTGGTGTCCCTGTGTTTGCTGCTGACAAATACGAATCATCTAAAACATCTCCACTAATTTCTCTAGGTCTCAGCTGCTTCATTATGTAATGAGGAGAATAATAACTCTCCACCAACTCTGAAACACTAAGAATGAGATGAGGTTAAAGGTGTGAGTATAGAGGGGCCTCCCCAGTGGCCTAGGGTTTAAGTCTCAGCGCTATCACCGCAGCCAGGGAGCTACCCACATGGCACAGCAGACCTCTCCTGTCTCTCCCACTGCTCCCCTCAGCAGTGTAGCTCAGTAAATCCTCCTGTTCTGCTCCCCACTCTGTCTCTGGTGAGTCCTCTCGTGCACCACACGTCTGGCCCACTCCCCAGTTCTATGCAAAAATAAATCTTAAAAAAAAAAAATGAGTATTTAGCAGAGCCCGCCATATAAAGAGATGACAGTATTTCATAAGAGAGCTGTTTTCTTGAGAAGGAAAACAAGGTATACAAGGTCATCTTAGCACATTGTTAGCATATCACAAACAGTGCACGTCCAGAATGCTTACCTTGGTTATGAATAAAACTCCACTTTGCTTTGCTGTTAGCAAATTAAAATGAATAAAATAATCCCTTTGTTAAAAATAAGTATTAGAAAATTAGACAAGATATTAGAAACTTGCCGGCCAGTAATTCTGAATTCTTACTGAATTGATGATAACTCTGAGTGCTTCCAGGCAAGCTGATGAGCTCAGCATACATCTTGAAACTCCCCTCCCATTCCAGATTCCAGCTGAAAGCAGCGACAACAAGGAGGAGGCAAGGTGGGGGACTGAGTGGGGGCTAAAACAGGGAAGGGTTTCATCCCATGCCAGAACACAAAGCCTTCTGCTCAGTGTTCTGCAGATCACATTACAGGGAGTCACTGAGCAAGGGCTTGCATCTTCCCTTCCTGAGAAATAGCCATGACCTGGGAGGAAGGTGACCAACCTACTTGGGAAAACACAGAGATCAGAGGGTATGTGCGGTAGTTAGAGCAAGTGGCTGTAGCAGGTGCAGACCTTGCATTTTTCAGGTTCAAACCCAGTGGAGAAAACGCAGGGACTTCTAAGCATTTCAGTAAGTCTTCCTCCATCCCACAAGCTCTAACTGAGACATTTTTCATTCTAGAACCATGATGAACAGCCAGAGAAAGAAAATACACAGCTTACCTTAGGCATATGCACCCTTGAGCATAGTGAGTAGGGAGGCCACTCCACCTGCAGCATGTTGGCTAAGAGAAAGGGAGAGGCCCTCCATAGAGAGACGTCTGGGTGCAGTTTGGGGTGGGGGGGGGAAGAACAAAAGAACACTTGACAACCACATTTACTAAAACTGCAAGCTCTTGCTCACTTGATGCTTCGTGTCCACCTGAGTTCAGGAGTGCGGTGGATTCAACAAAACTTTGCTGGTTTGCTGTTGATTTCAGAAATTAATTTGCTATTGCCATTATTTCTTGTCCATAGTACTTCCCTCCACGCTGGCTAAACTCACTTCATGCTGACTTGCATCAAGTTCATCCAATACCTTCTTCTTCCTGGGAGCCTGGCGCCTGCTATCTCTCGCCGATACTCCTGGATGAGGGGATAGTGTCTTCAAAGGCACTACTGAAGTGCCTCCCCATCATATACTGGGTCTTTGAGGCCACATGCTTTCCGGGTAGCACCCCCAGAAGATTCCCTTTGTGTGTCCAGAAAGGAAGCTATAGTACTGCAATCGCTGAGTCACAACAGCCCTCATGGACACTGTCCAGTGTTCTGAGACCTAGAATCTAAACAAAGTGGGGCTGCCCAGCATGCAGAGGTCAGGGAGGGTATTGGCAGCCTCCACCCTGGCTGCAGAGTGCTCAGCTGCCACTGCTGCCTGGTCTCCCTGGGGAAGGAAAGGGCAAGCCACGGTGCACTCGGGTGGGGGGGCTGCATTTATTCCTGGAGGTTTCTTGTTACCTTATTACACAACTCAGATGGTTTGCTTTTAACGGTCTGCTTGTCTTGTTCCATTTGACCTATAAAAATGCAAACATCCTTTAAGTAGATTTCTCTGAAAGAGTTGAATGTTTCCTTGTCAGGTCATACAGCATATTTGATGATAATCACCAGGACAGCACGGGACTGACAGCTGCTCTTCAGGCCACAGACCTGGCTGGGGTGCTGCACATGCTCTACTGCGTGCTCTTCCACGGCACCGTCTCGGACCCCAGCACCGCCAGCCCCAAGGAGAGTTACGCTCACAATACAGTGCAAGTGGCCATTCGGAGCCTGCGCTTCTTCAACAGCTTTGCGGCTCTTGATCTGCCTGCTTTTCAGGTACTCAGCTTTAGCTAGTGTGGTGTTGACCAACCAAGAGTTAATATTTCGGCGTACCAGTGATGAGGATTTGTTCTTGTGCATTAAAGTACGATGAAGGGAATCACTGACACCACAACTGCTGATATTAAACGGTGCATACCATTCACTAAGCTGCTATCTTCTGGGACTGTATTATGCTCTACCAGTGAATTCTCATGACTACCCTGCAAGATATTTATTAGGCCCATTTTACAGATGGAAAAGCTGGCAATTCAGTAATTTCCCAGGGTTACATGGGGCTGAGCCGGGACTGATACCCTCGATTCTCGGATCCCAAACAGAACCCATGCCACTCTGCTGCTTGTCAAGAAATCTTCTGTCTCAATTTCTTTAGATAAAGGTATTACCATTCCATCAACTTTTAAATGTTAGAGAAATGATTTCTCATATAAATCGAATCAAAATTAGATAAATTATTTTTATGTATGACTTCCTATGCATGATTTAACTGATCAGGTAAAGTACATGCATAGAAATAAGCCAAAAAGAAAAAGAAAAATACCGGATGGTCTCACTCATAGCAGGAATCTAGAAAACTTAAATAAGGGACCAGGAAAATGAATAACTATAAGAAAGTAAAAATCAAATCAACAAAAACTATGAACCAGAGACACTTTATGTGGGGTGGGGAGCGGGGAAGGGAGGGATTGGGGTCAAACTAAGGGGATTGCAATTGTATGGGGAATATAAAAATAAAATTTATTTTTAAAAAAATAAAGTACATGCATAGTTAAGTGTACAAACCCCCATTAATTAAGTTTTTATAGGGGATGATAGAAAATTACTCTATGCTATAACATCAGAATGTCTGCTTAGAAACAATTTGTTTTCCATGTAGGAAATTTAATTTTCAGAAACACTGAACTTTTAGAACAGAGCAGGCCCCAAGGAAGAGACTTTCTCTTGCAGTTTATTAACTGTCAAATGATTTCATTAAAAAGGAACAAACTTGGCAGATGATGAACCCATAATTTATACAAATTGCTTTTCTCAGAGAGAAAAGGTTACAGAGATACAAATGTATGAAATTGGCGGTCTTTGGTCACTTGGAGTTGGAGGAACCGCTTCTGTTTGGTAGCTGATGACAAGGGTGCAGTTCTTCATACCATTCTGTTCACACCAGGAAATGAATGTGCTGTGTCATTCTATTCAGTATCTTTCAACTTTGTAGTGGAAGTTTATTCAGTGCAAAAGCAGACATCTGTTCTTTAGGGTTAATGCTTTTTAGTTTCCAAAGCAGGTGAGCAAGCCTAAGGTGGTAACTGTATAATGGCTAGAGGTCTGAGAGTGTACTGCCATACCTGAAGCAGGAGACCTCTGCTCCAGAAAATGCCAGTTGTTCTTGCCTCTGGGTTGAACATACGCCTGTATTTTATGAAAACCCAAATCCACTGGGTTCTGTCTGGAAACATCTTCTCTGTTCCTGCAACCCCACATTTCTCTTTTCTTTCCTTTCTGGTTTTTCTTCTCTTTTGTCTCTGTTCTTTTTTTTTTTTTTTTTTTTTTTTTCTGACTCTCCTGTCTTCCTTTATTTTAGTCAGTTTTGTTATCAGTGTTCTTACTTTCTCCAGACGTTGTTCTTAGGTACCCAGCACATGGGCCAGAAAAACCTGTATGTACCTTTCCTGGCTGCCACCTTTTTGGTGCACAAGATCCAGCACATGCTTTTCCCTGACTCCTTATCTTGTGTGGGGACCCAAATGCCCAAAACCTAGAGCATCGGGATGTTTATACATGGTGATTTAACTGTTCCAGTTGCTTCTATGCATTAAAAAAATACTTAGTAGACAACAATTATTTTATTATGATCACAGATCCTGTGGGTCCAAAATTCAGACAAGGCTCATCACAGTGAGCATGGCCTGTCACAACTGCATGATAGGGGGCTTCAGCTAGAGGCTGAATAAAAGGTGAGGGAAGAGGTGGGGAGTGAAGTTACCTGGAGTCACCGTCTTTCTCGTGTTTGATACCTGGGCTGACTCAAAAACTAGGTTCACAAGGACTGTGGGCCAGACATCTACACAGGCTTCTCCATGAGACTAGGGCTTCTCAAAACGTTGTGATGTCTGGGTCCTGAGTGGAAGCTTCCAGAAAACAGGTATTTCAAGAGAATCAGAAAGAAGCTGGATGACTTTATGACTTAGCCTCAGAAGTCACATAGAAGTCAGTCATAAGCCTCCCCTCCAGGTTGAAGGAGAGAAGTCCTACACCCCACCCTTCAATGGGGTACCACAAAGATTTGTAGTCATTGGTTGGAACACACTCTGTTTAGCAAGCTAGAGCAGCTCATCTATCACACAGACATCATTAACGTAGACGAACATCCAAAGAAACATTTAATGCTCAAGTAAATACAGTACAGATACACAGGATTTGTTTTTCAAAGCAATGGGTGAGTTTTGAATAAAAAGAACTATTTTTATGATAGATATGGCCAGAGACTATTCATGTTTTAGTTCAAAACAACTTACATGTCCACAGTGAAGTTTCAGGGGCTACATTTATAAAAGATAGGAATAGAGATTTTAGAAACAGCATAGACCTGACCTCAGATAAATCTGGGAGACAATTTGTGAATTGAAGACAGGAGAATAAAAGGAATTGAAGAAGAAAATTGAAATGAGGTAAATGTTATACAGGACTTTGTACATACTGACAGCTGAACCCTATGCATCACAAGAGCTCAAAGTTCTTATGGACCGTCTCCATCAGACTTCTGGACCTGCGGTCAGGCGTGGAGCCCTCATGCTACCAAGCTGGACCATCGGAGACAAGTCATTTGAACCGTTAAGACTCAGTTTCTCATCTATAAAATGAAGATTTTAAAAAACCTACCTTACAAGTCTGAGGATTCAGTGAGATTACATAAAGGCACAGAGCTACCTAGCACATAGCAGGCCCTTGAGAAATGTGTGTGCACTCAGCTTTTGAAGATAAAGAACGCTCTTGCAGGTGCTGAGTCAAAGTCAAGACTTGAATCAGCGTTCCCGGCACACCAGCACCCAGGGCTGCTCAGCAGACCTGCGTGCTCTCTGACTGTGAGAATTATCATGTGGTGTGAACAAAAGGCTGCCTGTTACAAGTATTCTCTTAGCTGATTTCTTTCATTGTATACTAATAAGGCTGTCAGAATTTTTTTCTCCCTTCAGCAAGAGCCTGATTTCACTCTGAATTCATACTGGCACAGATGGCCTTGCGATCAGGGATATTGTATATTGCACACACTTTGACAGTTTTTACAATTGAAGGTGGTCTCAAGAAACAAATCAATGTACTGACTTGGCAATTAATTCTGGCTAAAAAAGGAAATATCGTTTCCTTGAAAAATTGCTTTAATTTTTATATTCAAACTTACATGCCCCTTGACCTGCTCTTATCAGTGAAGGTTAAACAGAGGGCACTGGGTCACAGCATGCTGGACACAGCTAATTAAATAAGGGCTGAGCCGAGACGGTGTCACTCCTTGATTTAAAGGAGCAAAGCCTTCCTGAAGTCTCTTTGGAGCCCGAGAAACACTTTGTCTCAAGACCACGAAACTGAGGCAGAGGTCCTCTCCGAATTCAGCCGTCGTTTGTTTCAGTCCTCCCGGAAAGGCGTGTGTTTTGCCCACCGTTAGGCAAGTGAATTCATTGAAACTTGCAAGCTGCAGTAAATCTGACCTGGATCAAGCCTACCAAGACCTCAAATCAAGAGATGAGTTTTAAACTCTGCCTTTTCCCACAGGCCGGCAGCGGCGCTTCATTCCAGAGTGTATTCTCGGGCTTCGCCTCTCCCCTTTGCCCTCCTGTCGCTCTGTCTGTTTGACATGTTTATTAAATAGAAACTTCAGGCTGCACAGACAGACTCAGGCCCTCCTCCCGTCACCGGCCACCGACAGCCTTTGGCCTGTCTGGAGAAAGGATCCCAGAAGCCTCGTCTCTGGGGGGCTTCGTGGTGGTTTGTTTTCTTTTTTTTGGGGGGGGGGGTGTTACTGTTTTTACATTCTTTCAGGAGCCTTGGGTTTACAGAGCAGTTTATTTGAATAACCAGTTGTTATTTATATTGCTTTTCTGTGTGATATTTAAGTAAATGATTAGAATTATATTTTTATCCCTTTGTGCAAGAAAATATTTTCTCCAGAAACAAAAATATTAGAAGTTAGCAAAATAGTAGATTTACAGGTGAATTTTAATATTTTTATTCTTCTGACTTTTCTGCAGTGAGACTTTGTACAACAAGAAAATTTAACTTACTAAAAACGCAATAGATAACCATGCTTTGGGTGGATAATGTCTTGGCACGGGTAGTACAGGCATTTGGTGTGCTGTGCTCTGTTTTCTGTCCCTTTTCAGTTTAACGGTTGCATTTAATATGGTCGTTGATGAGGACAAGAACCCCTGAACTCATCGTTAGTCTTCCTCAGAAATTCCTTAAACATTTGCAGCACATGGCAGAAAAGCACACAGGGCCCAGGCTTGCTTGGTGCTTTGCAGTGCTGCTTCTCCCTGAGCTGGGATTTCTAACTTCTCTTGTCTCTGTCAGTCTATTGTAGGGGCAGAGGGCCTGTCCCTTGCCTTCCGGCACATCGCCAGCTCCCTGCTAGGCCACTGCAGCCAAGTCTCCTGTGAAAGCCTCCTACATGAGGTCATCGTCTGTGTGGGCTACTTCACCGTCAACCACTCAGATAACCAGGTAAGAGGCCCCGGAAAGTTCCTGCAGCCGCTCCCCAGCACTGAGAGTGTGAGGTATTGGAGTGAGAAAAGGCAGGCTGGCCTGCTGGAACCCATCTCTCTTAAGCGAGGCCCTTACCAGGCTTGTGACTATGTCTCTGATTTCTTCTCTCCAAAGAGATTTGCTCGGTACTGGGTTAGCACTAAGTCTCCTTTCAGAGCTATGAAAAGAAAACAGTGTGAATACAATATTCTTAGGCCACACAACGCATCCACTTCCTGGCCACGTAGATTCTGATGCTCTATCCATGTGTTTTTTTTTTGTGGATGAGGCAGCTTGTATCTTTCAACTCGTGTCACTTTGCAAATAGCTTTAGAATCAGGTGCTTTATGAAGCTGCTCTTGGCCCTTGGCTTCTGCTAGTCCCTGGAGGCTGCCAGATGGCACCGGACAGGCGTTGAAAGGGCAGGCAGAGCCTCTCCCCAGTGAGTCACCTGGAGTGATTCTGCTTTTAACTATTTTGATGATTTGGTTTCTGGGCAAGATTGCCTCTGTAAGTAGGGTTTTGCTGCTTTAAGAAGTTGGGAAATCTGTGTTGCAGATTTTATAAAAATCATAACAACAAGGCACCTTGTTGCTCTTTATTTTTAAAACCAGAATTATGGCATAATTAACACATCAAACAGTAATTCCCAACAACCTCATTTATTTAAAACCTCCTACTCAACAATCTTAATTGTATGGAGTATAGATAAGAAAAAGGCCCCCAACACTCTGCACTTACCAGTTTTTATTTTAGGCAGATCACTAACTAATGTGCTTACGAGGCTTGTTAGCCTGTAGCTAACTAGACCAGGGTATGAGAAGGACTAGAGATGACTGTGGTGTCAAAGACAAGTACAAGTTGAGATGCTGCATACAAGGAGCTGGATTTCTCTTCCCGATGAGGAGAAAGAGGATTAAAAAGTACATTGTAGACCCAAGAACTCAGAAAACATAGCCAACTGGATCCCAAGGAACACTAGCCATGAATGTTATTTCTCAAGTTCCTGTCGATGTACCTGATGTTGACCCTGACTAGTCATGGAAGCATGTTCTGGGCATTCCCTCCAAGAAGGCTGAAAGCACACAGTCCATTCTAGAGAGATTCTCATGATTCAAATATTGAAAAAAAAATTTATGCAGGCCACTCCCAGAACAAATGTCATATGTAAACATAAAAATTAGATTTAATTTCATTTAAAAGTTTGTTTTTATTTTTATGATTGCAAAAGAGTCCCTCACATATCATGAAATAGGCAAGTTGGAATCACAGTCACTCATGAGCTCACCCTCTCACGCAGCCTCTGCTACTATTTTGGCACGCTCCCTTACAGCCCCTTTTCTGTGACTATTTTTTCCAGGTTTTGAGGTATAATTGACATAACACTGTATTAGTTTTGAGTGTACAACAGGATAAGGTAGTATACGTATATATTGTAAAATGATCATCATAATAACTGTCATTAGTGTCCATCCCCTCACATAGTTATATTATTTTTCTTATAAGAACTTTCAAAATCTAATTTCAAATGTATGATACAGTGTTAACTTTATCAGTTATCTCCCCAGAACTTACTACTAAACATGTGTACCTTTTCCCATTTCACCTACATCAGCCTCTGTGAATATTTTCGCAGAGCTAAGATCATACTGTACATGGACTCGTGTCCCCCATTATACACTGGACAGTTATGTCGCAGTAACTGTCATTTTTAGTGGCTGCGTGACTTTATCTTATGTGGACAGCCCATGGTTTACCTAACAGCATACTGGTTTATACTTAATTTGTTTTATATTTAACTTGTTTGTATACTTTGATACTTGAGTTGTTTGCTCTGTGTCAAGACAATGTCTGCTGCCCTTGGAAAGAGGTACGCCGTTTGCACGTGTGGTACTTTTCTGCTGTGTGCAGTTCTACAACATAAGTTAGTTCCTTTAGCACATTCCTATTTAGGGATGATTTGTCTAAACCAAATCTGTTGTGATGAATTGACTAAATCAGAACTTTGAGGGATTTCAGAGAGTTTTTCTGCTATAACAGGATCATAGACTAATCCTCTCCTGTAGATAAACTACACGTTCTAAGTATCTCTGGGCTCACCAGAGTGAATGGGGGACAGGGCTGGGGGACTGGTGTTTGGAGATGGCATGTTAGAACTGCCTTGAGTCTGATGCCGAAGTAATGACTGAGCATGTCAGGACAAGAAAAAAAGCGCATTAAATGGGCAGAGAGCATGAAGCCATACAAGCCATATAGCCATACAAGCTATACACAGAGACCAGAGACTTCTCCTTGGAGAAGAAGATACAGTGGAGTCCAGAGACCACTGTTAAGAGGTAAGCTCACTCTGAAGAAGAAATTAGAAAAGTATGAAAAGCCAGACTTTTCTATTTTGACTCCTTACCTCCCAGAGGGATTAAGTATACACTGGACTGCCTCTTCTGACTTGGTGGAAGTTCAACAAAGCCAGTTCAGACCTGAGGCAGCTGCTGAAATGCAATGATCTATGAGAAGAAAGAATACGATAAAAAGTAGAGAAGAAATAATAAACTGGTAGAAATGATAGTAATTCTTCTATCAGAAACTGACACTCTGCACCTTATGGAGATGCTGTTTTTAAGCAAAACTCCTGATTATTGTAGAAGTCTTTATACTCTTCTTCCCACCTGTTGTCTCTTGGACCTCACTAGCATTTAAGTGAGACTGTAAGTACAGACATTAGTCCTACCTCACAGACAGGTGAGGAATTAGGACTCAGAGAGGTGAAGTGATCCCCTCTCGAAGGCTAAAGAATCGCTGGAAGACAAGGGCCAGAACCCAGGTCTTAACAAAGTTAAACCGATGGCACTTTCCCTTCCACATTGCTTAAGAAAATAAGATGTGGGCCTCCCTGGTGGCGCAAGGGGTTAAGACGCAACCTGTGAAGCTATCGGCAGCCTCTGCAGCATGAGTTCAATCCCCCAGCCAGCCAGGGAGCTACCCACATGGCACAGCAGACCTCTCCTGTCTCGCCCGCTGCTCCCCTCAGCAGTGTATTTCAGTCAGCCTGCCTGTTCTGCTCCCCTCTCTGTCTCTGGTGAATCCTCTCACCCCCCACATCTCTGGCCTGTACCCCAGCTCTTGTGTGCATACATAAATACATCTTTAAAAAAGATGTGTCACAGACCCCATCTACCAGTGAACTCTGAAGCGTGTGCCGCACAGATGATACCCGTTTACCCAGACAGTACATTGAGAAGCTCCATCTGCACTTCTGCATGCTGTCTGGAACCTCTGGGGACATGGATGTGTGCCTTTGTCAGGAAGATCCTAAAAGTCCTGGGAAGATATAAGTGATGTGTTTTACAAATGCACATGAACCATAGTCTAGCAAGTAAAGCCCCAGCCCTGACAGTAGCTTAGATAAATCATTTTCCCTCAAGGCATGAGCGTCTTTGCTCATAAGGAGGTAGATTGGTTCTAGAAATGGATAGTGGTGATGATTACACAGTATTGTGAATATTCTCAATGCCACTGAATTGTAAGCTTAAAAATGGCTAAAATGGTAAATTATGTTATATGTTTTTACCACAATAGAATAAAAAATACAAAATTTAAAACAGAAGTGATTGCCCTGGATTGTCCTGGCCTGTGAGCCCTGTCATTCAGTCTGTGAGAAGTGAAAAGCCAGGACTGGAACCAGACAGACGGCACTCCAGCCCGCTGGGCGACTCCAAGCCATTCTGTGGTTGTCCCAGGCCTCCTCACTCTCTTCCAGATTCTGCCAGCACCAGACAGCTGCAGAAGCTGCCTGCCTCTATAGCAGCTGATCCTTAAAAGCAGACTATTCCTTAGCTCCCCTATCTTGATAAACGCACAGGCACACACAGTGATCCGGGGACCTTGTTTGGTGATGCCACCTTGAGCACTGCTGTTCTGGCTGCACAGAGGGCGTCCTGGCTGCTTGGCCCGGGAGCTCCCTGCCCAGCAGGCATCCTGGCAGGACAGGGGAAGGAAGGAACCTCCAACTTTTGAGGGTGGCAACTGTTCATTTCCCAGTAGAATTGGGGAGTTTTCTATAATTTAAAAAAAAAGATGCTTCTTTATTTATTCTAAAAACTTGTTTTAAGCTCTTGCCCAGCTTCAGTTACAGATTTATGGAGTCCTGGAAAGGCTCTGAGATATTTAGTCTGGCTCCCTTACATTATACATGGAGAAACCAAGGCTTAGCAAAGGAAAAGGAATTGCTAAGTAAGAACCAGCAGAACCCATCCTCATAATGGGCAGTTTAGCTAGTGCCCTTTTTACCTCATTTCTGTTTTTATGAAAGTGAATTTATTTATCCTGACACCACTTTCTCTAAATCAGAGAAGAAATTATAATGCTCAATTCATTTAATGTTGCCGATCATTTGTCAGAAGTCATGTTAATTTGCAAGATCTGTTTGCCCACAGGGATTCTTTATTTCCTACTGGGGAAACAGCTTGTATCTTTCTTTACAAGACAAAAGATCTGAACTTCTGCTGCAACCCCAGGCTATTTTATTAGGTAGCTGATTTGCATAAAGGGTTGATTGACACTGTTTATTTGCCAGCATTTAGTCTATTAACTGGGAGGACTGAGCCCCACAACAGCAAGGATGAGTTCAGAAGAGAAACCTGGGTAATAAAAGTAATGTCCCATCCTTGGAGGCACCAGTCACCTGTTTCCTATAGGGTTGCAGTTTCTAATTAAAATGTTTTTTTAATCAAAAGCTTCCCTATGTTTTATGGCATTTTCATGACTCTTTCTAAACTCCTTCCCATTTAATTATTATAATGAACATAATTAGTATGTGCTGTCAGCCCTTCACTTTATTTACATTTTATATTGGATAATTAAATGAGGTCTGATAATTAAATTAACTCAAATGACAGATGATTTGACTGCCTGCATACTACTGTATTGGGAATAAGCACCTTTGCATATTCATTTTAGTTAGTGAGTGACTTTTTCATTTG